GCATTTTGCCTTTGCCAGCCTGAGAGGTCTGATCCTGTGGCTGACTGCTAGCAGCCACATCTTGCTTCCCTCTTATCCTTGCTTCCCTCTTACCCTTGCTTTCCCTTTCCTAGAAAGGGAAATTTCTTCTGGGTGTTTGTAATGGGAAGGTGAGAACTGACCGAAGCTGGTATTTTGAAATGCCTTCAGCATTCTGGCACAACTAAACCTTCTTTCTGTTTTCTCTTTTAGCCTGACATGAGCAGTGTTGGTTCCTACTTCCCAGAAAGCTCCTAAGGAGTGAAGTGTTGAGCTGCACTTTGGATCACAGACATCCAGAACTTCTGATGATGTTTCTGCAGGCCTGGCCCAAAGGAGAGGCTACAAAACCAAATGTTTGTCATCTTTTGTAAACTGTTACCACAAAAACTGACAAATAACATGCATAAGTTACAAATACGGAATGCTCTCTATCCCTTTCCTCAGTTCTTCAGCTCTGCTTTCTGGTTCTGTGATGCCAACTGAGCCCCTCAGATTACCCCACAATATTTACTCTTGTGGCTCTTGGATGTTGATCACTAGAGATTATTTTGCCTTAAGTCTTGCACCAGTGTCCTGCTGCACAAAGTTTGTTTTGGCACTACATGTGCTGCCCTCTCTTTCCACACTCCTGCTTGAGTGGTGTTTCTGCTCTAGGTACATGTAAGACCCCTTTGTATGTCCACTACCAAAAATACAGTAGTTTACTTGCCACAAAATAATTCAAAAATCCACAAAATAATTCAAAAATTATCAACTGCTCTTTTGCCCTGACTTGCAGCTGTTCCCATGGGATGGTGATTCTGAAGTGATCAGCTTGGTTAAAAACTGGAGTTTTTCAGTGTCAATCCAAGGGCTTTTAACAATAACATTGTGGGAGTCCCTGGACCTCCAGGGTCAATGTTTGACCTGGTGTCACCTGTGCTGGTTCTGGGGCACTTGCAGGAGAGGGTCCAAAAGGCACACTTGCCAGTGGGCTTAATTTGTCCTGCAGGAGTTCACCCCCTACAACAGGAAACTTAGAAATCAGCAAATCTCAATGGATTTGGACCACCTTGTCTGGAGTTACCTTGGAGACAGAGGTTAAATAGCATGGTTCTGAGCAGTCAGTCAAGGGCTACAGATTTGGGAGCTTCCTCATGAAGAGCTCTGCCTGTGCCACATGAAAGCTGCTGTAGGTGCTGCTTTCAGGCAGAAGATTGTAATTTCTTTCTACACAGCTGTTAGTCAGGATATCTCATTTCAGTTGCTTTCCTGCTTGCCCATTAAGGGTACACTGAAGGCATAGAAGTGTCTCCCATTCCCATCCTGAGGGTAAGAGGAAGCCCTCACTTGTCTCCACACTGGAGCAAGCTGTCTTGCTCTCAGCTGAGTTTTCTTGGGGTATGGTGACCTGTGGGCTGTATGGGCAGAGCTCTTTTTGGCCCAGCTGCTTTGGGCTTTGTAGAAAATTGAGCAAATTTCCATTTTTGTTTTACTGTCTGGATGTTTAGGAAAGACTTTGTAAGAGTTGGCTGATTAAAAGGTTGCTCCTTAAACTTCAAAATAAAGATTGCCATGATCATCTGTGATCAGATATCAGCCCTTGAATATGTACCACCTGTCTTGGCCCTGACTCCAGGTCTCCCCTCAGCCTGTCTCAGATTTAGAGTGAGAAGCTGCTTCTCCTTGGCCACCTCACAGGGCTCAGCTCTTGGGGGGAACAAATGTGATACCTGTTTTAAATGTGGCTCTGTGGGTATCCTGAGCTAGTGAGATGGAGCTGTGTACAAGAAAACAAACTAATAAAGAATGGGTTTAGAAACACAGATCATGAGAGAGGATAAACATGGTGTTTCAATTGCAAGTTGTGTCCCACAGGACCTGTGCAGCTCTTAAAAGAGTCCACAGGGATAGGGAAAGGGTCTCTTGTACTGTTGTATTTTCAAAAGGCATTTGGGGACCTTGGGTCAGTGATCTCATGGAATGAGGGAAGTCCTCTTGCCTGGTTTAGGAAAGTCAATGGATTAGGGCAGGGAATTTTGGCCATGCTGACTTACTCAGACTAGTGAGGATCAGGACTGGATAGAAAGGGAAACTGCAGCTGAGTGTGAAGTGAAGCACATTGTGCTTAAGAATCCAAATTTCACCCAGTAGTGGTGAACTCTGAGCAGTGCAAGAGCACACTCCTGACTGAAGCTCCATATTGGAACAGACATGCTCTGGGTTCAGTAATGGTCAAGAAAGCAAACAATGTCTGGAGCTAATGAGGAAAACAGAGCCCAAAGCAGCATTAGCTGGAAATCCAAGATGTATCTTTATCCTAAGGGATAAAGATGCATCGTGTAGATGAGATGCAAGTGTTGCACAGTGGTTGCCAAGTGTTTCTGCAAATAGATATTCTGGAGTAATGCACATCTACATTAGATTTTGGGTCTCAAACTCCAAAAGAGGCTGGGGAAAGGAAGGGTGAAACTCTCATGCTGCTGCCCATTGCTTGCCCTGAGATCTGCCCTGCAGGGCCAGAGCTGGCAGGAGCAGGGTGCTGAGGAGGCTGAGTGCAGCACTGTGTCACAGCAAGGGTGACATGAGAGCCCAGGTGAAGGGCTCCAGAAAGGCAGGATCCCAGGGGACAGCACAGGCACAGTGCAGCCCCTGCCTGCTCCTTTTCCATGGCTTTCATCTCCAAGGCAGCACAGCATGTGTGCTGATGATGCCAACAGGTGTTAAGGAATAGTCAATAAAATTGTACGTTCAATAGTCAATCAAATCAATGTTCCCAGAACTTGGATCCTATGGGTTCTTGGGATTCTTAAATTAAGCTACAAAGGTGTGGGTTACACAGCATGACTAAAGCCACCTGGTACCTTTGCCATCAGGCAAAGGCAACAGGATGACTTCAGGTGCTGGGAAGGGTTGCAGGAACAATCAGAGGAACTAAAGGAATGCTGGACAAATAGGTGATGCTATGAGAAGGGCTGGAATCCAGCCTTGAGGTGAATGTGACAGGAGGGAGAAAGTTATGAAAGTCTCATAAGTGGGTTCAGTGAGAAGGTCTTGGGGTACGTAGCTGTGTGTGCTTTAATGGCCAAAAACTTGTTAGGATCCTTTACAGAGGATGTAAAATGTAAAAAACAAGCCTGTGAAAGTGAACCTCAATGGTGATGAAATTGTTCAAAGTAGTCAAAAGCGGGGAAAAAACCCAAATAGGATATTGAGTGTGGCTGGCAGTTTGTCCAGAGTGTTCCAAGGTCCCTGGGCTGTCCAAATCCCCATGCTGCAGAGCAGGATCACAAACACAAAACAGCCTTTTGCTTGTTAGAGTTGAATTAGCACTGCTGATCCCTGCTCCCGTGTGGGAACAATGTGTCCTGCATTTCTAGACAGGAGCTGGAACGCAGCCCCTGCCCACAGAGAGCTTTGGCCAGGCTGATGGGCAGCGAGCCCAGTGCTCCTGTAGGATCCCTGCAAAGAGCTCGGGGTGGGAACTGTCCCACAAAAAACCCCATGTTTGTGCCCAAGTTACCCCAGGACTGCCCATGGGCTGATCTCAGCAAAACAGAGGTGATAATGAATGCGATTGTGCTGGAGGAAAGCTGCCTCCCCTCCTGCAGCCCCCTGTGGCTGCAGAGGGCTGTTCTCACCCCCTGGGAACTCCCATATGTAACACCTGCCCCAGGAGGGGGCACAGGGCAGGTGGAAAAGGCCCTGGGGTATTTCTGTGGCTTTGGAGCAGCAGCTGGGGCTGGGTTTTGGCAGCCCAGGGCAGCAGCTCACCTTGCTGCAGCCACCTCGGGCACAGGGCACTGCTCTGCCCGATCAGCTCCTTCTTGGGCAGGCCAAACCCTAACTTTGGGGTGAGGGGGAGAAAATATAAACAAATCCAGACACTGTTCTCCATTGTAAATTTTTTTTTTAATAATTTTTTTTTTAATGATGGCTGTTGGAAGTTGCTCAAAGGTTTGGGCTGTCGCAGTCCCGGCGAGATGGCAGCGTACAGATGAGACCGAGGTGCCAGGTGGCCGTGGTGGCCGTGGTGTGTCCCACCACACCTCTGGTGCACAGAGCAACGCGGAGTAGCGTGGGGCTGTCTGATCAGGAGCTCTGGTTTCCTTTGGTCCTTCGCACTCCTTCACTCACCAGGAGATGTTAGCACGTTTTGTCACTACAGTTCAAAGTTTTGCATCTACGAGCTTCTCACTTACTTTGTAATATGTTGGTAATAGTTTATGTTTAAACACAATAAACAGCTTGGCTATAGAAATCAGTTATGAAGGACAAAATACAGTTTGAGACCACATGTTAATGCAGTCCTAGTGGGCTTCACCAGACGAATCTAAGTGTCTATCCTGCTTCACCAGAGCAATATTTGAGCACTAATTAGCAATCCAGAATGCTAACGATCTCTCTGCTGCTTTGTTCCTCATTGTAATTAGGAATAGTTTTAGTGTGTTTGTTGTCCTTGGGGTTTTTTTTTTTAGAGCTGACATTACAAAGCTGTAATTTTCTATACTAAGTGGACATTCTGTGCATTGCACTTCATTGCACTCAATAAAATTCAGTTATAGGCAGGGGGTTTAGGCTAATCACCTGTTCCCCATGGTGAGCGGGCAAAGCAGTTCCTGTGCTGACATGGATGGCACTTCTGTACAGTGCTGGGCTTCACCATTACACTGCACTGCAAAAGGCTCTTCCACTCTTATTCAACATGGTAAAAATATCAGCATCAACACGAAAATCAAAAGTTTGTGGCTAGGGCACAATGTCCTGAACCACTCACAACTGTAAGAGGGACAAGCAGAAGCTACTGTTGTAGGAAGAGATCTGTGGAAAGTCACTAGCTGAAAGTTAAGGTATTTTTCTTGCCTTTACCTGATTTTTATGGCTCTGTCAAACATGGTAAACTCATTCTACTGTGTGGCATGCTTCCTTTGGTCCTTGCCAAATATTTGCCTGTGAAGAAGTGGGCAAAACAAACCCCCAAATTCTGAAGGCATACAATGTTTGAAACATCTACGGGGGTTGGATTTAGTTTTATAAACAGGCCTAATTCTTACCGAACCTTGATTATTTCACCAAAATATAATGACGACCTCACTCCAAACAAACATTTCCATTCTCCTGAAACCCAACATACAAATTCCACAATCTAGTTACACATGCCACGGAACAACAACTCATCTTTTCCCAGCGTCTGAACGGGCAGAGTGCAGTCTGTCTATACTCATTCCCCGTATTTTGGTAACCATTGGTTCCTCGGTTCTTGCTGGCGGGAGCTTAAACTAACTTACATAACATTTAAATATTTCTTTCATGAGTGGCTCCCAAAACAAAAACCATGATTGGTTTGGTTGTTTTTTAAGACCCAATTACTTTGTCTTCAGATTGTCCCAGTCTAGGGCTTGATGTTGCCAGGTGTCTGGTTTGGTGCTTCTTGAGCTTCTGCTCTGCACTCCGGTACCTCTTTGAGTGCTTGGTGGTTCCTCGTGCACTGTGCTGAGTGGCAGCATTGATCAGTTATGAATGTACAAAACATCTGACCAGCAGGTATTGGAAAATCGTATCCAGGTAGATCCCTGGATTTTTTAATAAACTAAGAAGATTTTTTAGAATGATTCAGCATCAGAATGTCTTCTGCTTATGACACTGAAATTGTTCTTGTTCATAGATTTCATGATCTTAATTAATTTATGAGAGAGCTATTAAAAAAATGGTTCTGTTCAGAGGTGGTTTAGCTACACTGGAGAATGCTGGGTTTAACAGGGAGCACTGGTGCAGGGAACTGAAGGAAGTTTCCCAGATCAGTTGAAACCTGTCTCAAAGACTCTGGTGCTGGCAGAGCGAGCCAGTGGATGGCACCGCGGCTGGCAGGTGACCAAAGCAGTACAAAGGAAAGAGGCTCCACACTGCAAGGCTGCCTGCCTGTATTTTTTCCAGTTTTCCTGCTTATTTCCATCCCAGGGTGTCCAAAACTTGTAGGTCACTGAAGTAGTTTTGTTTGGTAGGCTTTTCAATGCATTTTTTCCACTTTTTTGTGTGTGTCCATAGTCCTCATCAGCTCAATGAGTTGAAATGTGCAGCAGGCTGTGTCATACCCATTCCTGGACAGGTCTTTTGTAGTACACGACATTTTGCTGCACCTCTTTGTTTTTAAACTGGAAGATTGTGTATACCAGGACAAGGATACACAGAGACAGGATGCAGGGGATCACCACTGCGATGGCATTGACAGTGCTGGGCACGTCATTTATTGTCACCATGATGTCCACGTCGTCGTGCGGGAGGCGCCGGTCCTTGCTCCGCTCAACTTCCTTCTGGTTACAGCCCATCCAGTCCTTGAGGATCGACCTGGGGTAGCCTGGCTCCACACTCAGCCTCTGGTTATCGAACTTCCAGTACTCCTTCCCTTTGTAAAAGTAGGTGTAAACTAGGAGACAAAACAGAGAGTATTTCTCACTATTTCCCGTTGGTGAGCTGTGCTTGTGGGAGGACTTTAAGGGAGCCTGAAGACAGACACTAGCTAAGTCAATAAAACATATTTATCCAGAACATTCCCCAGCCATTGGAAAGTGAAGGTGGTTTTGGAGGTGGGATTTAAAGGAGAAGCTGTAACCCTGGCTATCATGTTCAACATTACCCATGGAACACCATTCCCCTTGGCCAAGACAAGCTGGGAATTAAAAAAGAAAACTCTACTATCTTTAAAGGAAGGGTTCTGCAGTGAGGTATTTTTTAACTAAGGTATCTGTAAGTATGTGCTTATCATTGCTAAGTGATTAACACTGTCTGCAGGGTGCCAGCATGTGCCTGGGTATGACAGTGTTTGGAAGAACACCCTGTTTCTGTTCATTCAGCCTGAGGGAGCAAATGCTGAGTAAGATTAATCCTTTTGCCCCAGAATCCCGAAGATTTGGCCTGTGTTAAGGAGCAGTGTTGTTCTGCTGCTAATACAAGGGTGATGCTTTATGCTACATGTTGTTTGAAGCACCTCCCTCTCCCGAGATGACCCATTTTCTAATGACTCTCAAGTTATTAGAAAATAAGAGAACAGGAGAAGGGAGCTGTGGTGAAAGTGTTGGTCTCCTGCACTGTTCCCCAGCTTAGCTGACTCTCACTGCCATCCCTCCAGCCTGGCCCAGCTCTACAGCCCTCCTCTCACACCACAGCTCCAAATTTGAACACAGCCTCAATGGCACAAACCCCTTCTGTTGGCTCTTTCCTTTGCTGGAGGAGGAAATCTTCAACTCAGAGAAAGAAATGTGTTGGAAGGAGCCTCTGGAGCTCCAAGCCCCTACTCAGAGCATAACTTCAAGGCTAACTACTGACAGCAGACAGGCTGGAGCCTTTAGCAGAGAGCCAGAGCTCACTACAGGTAGATTAGGAGGAAATATAAGTTCCAGCACCCCCAGAACCAGGGCCCAGGAAAAGTTGGGTAGGGTCTGTTGTGGCAGAAAAAAGTCCCATTCCCACAGAGCTGGATTGTCCCAATTGTGGTTTAGCAGCTGACGAGGTGTGTGGGTTGGGATGAGGGCCAGGAATAATCCCAGACTGCTGCTGCTCACAAAGCCCAGGTGACCCCAGGGCTTCTGAGACTTGATTCCTGGATCAGAAAATACTCAAAACACTCCACATCCAACCGCCCAGCTCCCAGCACAGACCAGCTCTTCCCGATCTAACAGGTGCAATGCCTGCAGACACATACAGCCTTCCTTGCTGATGAAAGCCCCCTGAGGAGCCTGAGGGATTCCTCTCCACACGGTGATGGGCTTGGGGTAGCCTGGGTCCGTTGCTCTCTTGTCCTCGTTGTACCTCCAGTACCTGTCCCCTTTGAAGAAGTAGGTTTTGCCCACGGGCTCCCAGCGCAGCGCGGTGTCGATGCCCTCGCGGGGCAGGCAGCTCCCCAGCTCCACCAGGCTGTGAGGGTAGCCCGGCTCTGCCGTCACCTCCTTAAAAACCCAGTACTTATCTCCTAAAGATGAGCGGGGACACAACAACAAACACATTGGCCTGTTAGGAGTCGGATCGATATGAACCTAAACCAACCAGTGGACTGCAGCATCTTGAGGGCTTCCAGGCTTAACTGCAATCTGTGAAAAGCTGCTCCTCCACTTCATTTTGAATCTGAAACCTCATTTCATCTGCTGCTTCTCAGCTCTTGTTTTGGGAGAGCTGCTGAACAGCCCCTTCCCATTTACCTTCTCATGGCCAGTCATGATTTCAGACTTGTCTCATCCCCTGTCTGCCATCCTTTGCTCAGGCTGAGCTGTTGATCAGCCCAAGCTTTTCAGACATTTCTGTTGCCTTTCCCTGAGCCTCCCAAGTTTTAGTACAGTTTAGAAAGGTGAGCTGCAGACACAAACCCAGAAGCCCAGGTTCTGTGGTTTTGTACCAGCCATGCTGTCCAGCCACTTTTCCTTGCTCACCATTTGCTCTCAAGTTACAGGATCCTGTTCAGGCACTGCCACCATACAAAGAGCTATAGTGGGCCCCAGCACAAGGTTGGTAATTTTGTCTCTTTAGGAGACAATTGTCCAGAAATGAGGTTTGGGAGTGCCCTGCACCTGGAGAGGGCTCAATGCCCTGGCAAAAGGTGTTCAAGGAGATAAGCAGGGCACTGGCACTCGCTGGGAAATAGGAGCTGTTTCTTGTCACATGAAAGCCAACTTCCCCTAATTGATATTAACTCTATACAGAGATGGTCCTGGCAAGGCCAGCCCACACTGAACTGTATTTTAAGGATCAGTGGCTGCTTGAAGTGCCCCCTCGGAGAAGGGCAAGGGTGCAGCGTACCCGTTTTCCACATTTTCATGCCACAGAAGCAGTCTGAGCTGAGGCAGGAGTGTCTGGCTCGTGCTGAGCTGTACTGTACCTTTGAAGAAAACGAATTTGCCATCAGAGCGCTCATAGGCAGCGTCGATCTTGGCAGGGAGGCCCTTCCAGAACTGCTCAATCTGCATGGGGTACCCCTCCTGCACGCGGTTGTTGCGCAGACGCCAGAACCAGCGATCCTGAGGAAACCAGAAGCCTCTTGAGACTGAGCACTCTTGTCTTGCAGTCAGACCTGGCTGGGTCCAGCATCCAGCTCTGCTAATCCTTGCCCAGGCCCCACAACCATTACGGACACAAGTCCTGCTTCAGGTGACAGCTCCAACCCAGCCCAACACTGTCTCCAGTGTGGGAGGTGCTGTGGGGGGAAGATGGCAGCACAAAGGGGGAGATGTTGATTGATGGGGCTGTGGAAAAGGGTGGAAAGAAGGAGAGGGGAAAGGAGCAGGGGGAAGTGAGTCCACAGCTGTAAGCATTGTGACCTCTCCATGTCTTGTCACTGAGGTGTCATGCTTGTCCTGGTTCAGCTGAAGCTCCTGGAGCCCAGGAGAGCCAGACAGCCTGAACATCACCTGGTGACTGTGTGAAACACACAAGATTTAAAGGCACAAAGGAGGTATGAAATATCCCTTTAGATATTCTATCATTGCTTAAAGCTGCAGGGGATGCTCAGCGAAGAGCATGAGCAGGACAGAACCTTTGACACTTCTCCAAGATACCATCCCAACCTTCAACTAGTTTCATTTCAGGAATCTTCTGCAACTGATGTGGTTTGTCCATCTAATAACCTTCAATATGTCCCTTTCCACACTTCACACCCATTGGGCAGAGATAAAACTGCTGGTATTTTGGGAATGGGATCATGGATGTCCATATTCCATTGATACTCTAATGGGTTATTGAGCAAGGGCTGTGGTGTACAAGAAAGGTTGACTCCAACTCCCCAGGTAGGCTGAGTGCTCCCAGAGCCCCAGTTCCATGCATGTCACCTCTGAGACAATGAGGCTGCTCCCAGAGAAGCTGTGGCTGCCCCATCCCTGAAAGTGTTTCAGGCCAGCTTGGACAGGGCATGGTGGACAGTGGAAGGTGTCCCTGTCCATGGCAGGGGGTGGGACAAGGTGATCTTTAATGTCCCTCCCAACACAACCCACTCTAATGGTTACCCATGGTACTGGTATTGCTCCCTGGCTTTACAGGGGGCTCCTGTCAGGCTTGGTGGCATCTGAATTCTCTGCCAATGCACCCCATTCACATTTTGGAGCACAGGATGCCTGGGCATTCTGTAAATCCCATCAGGCATTGTTTCCAAATATTACAGAACCAATCTGTTCACACTTCCTTCCAATATTTCTCAGTCATCACCCTCAGAGGAACAGAGCTATTTTCACAGACATTTCAAATCTCACTACCAAATACTTCTATTAACCTTTTCCAGCAATTAAATGAAGGGAAGACTCATGGGTAAGTGGGAATTCTCAGTACCTTGAAAACAAACATTTCTCCTCTAAAGAGAGCCACAGTGTTAAAGTTGCCATCACAGATGTTTGGTTTGGAGCCAGGGAGGGCTGGCCTATCACCCAGGGGAGGGCTGGCGGGTCGTGGCTGCCTCTCGTGCTTTCTCTCTGAAGTGGAGTGAATTCTGCGAACAGGAAGAGTTGGTAAAGGCCTGGTTGGCTCCAGGGGCTCTATAGGAGGACCTAGAAGTGAAAAGGAATATATTTAGCAAAGTAGACAAGGTTGTTTTTTCTGTAAGCTTTAAAAGGCTCCAGGCTGGATGGACAGCACTGCCAGGGTACTCCGGATGCAGAGCTCATTCCCTAGAAATGGGGAGCAGAACAAGATGCATCCACATGTGAAAACTGCCCCAAAACAGACAAGTGATAAGAACTGAAGAACAGCCAGAATGTTTTTGCAGGTCTTCCCAGGGAGGCTGGAGCTAAAAGGAAGAAAGAGCCACACCAGTCACGTTCCCAACTGAAATGAAAGGTGGTAACCCTTGAATAGAACTGTTTAGTAGACCATAAAAAAAGGCAACAAAAAACCCTAGAAACCAAAGCAAAACTAGAAAAAAAAAAAAGAGGCTGTGAAAACCAATGCTACATTGTAAGGAGAACTGCAGGGAGCTTTTCATTACACAGCAGTGACCAACCTGCGCTGTCCCTGGTGAGCAGCTGTGACAAGGGACCTCATCCCACCCAGCTGACAACCTCCCAGCACAGCTCTGCCTTTCCATCCTTCCCAAACTCAGCTCTGGGATCTGACAGGGCCAGAGAAATAAAAATACAAGTGAGCTAGACTGGAGCAGAGGTCTTAAACAGCCACTTGCCATAGGATATTTTCATTAACTGTTAGCGGTAAATCTGGACCAAATCTCACTCAGAGAGTCACATGTCCTGTTGCTTCTCAAAGAAGGCCATGAGTTAAGATGGCAATAATCAGAAGGCCACTAGAGCAAGGGATTTTAGTGAGCTTGAGATGTGAAGATGGTTTATTTGCAGGGATCATGGTTTCAATTTCATTCTGAGCCTGTAGGACAAAGCCCCACCGTGGGGGCTGCTGTCATGGGTGCTGTTTCAGTGTCACACACTGGGGCCAAGGAGCTGCACCCCAGCTGGAGGTGAACACTTGCTCTGGACAAGGCTCATCCTCACAGCCTGGAAGAGTCACAGCACCTGCAACCCAGGGCACCAATGTAAAGGTTTTAATCAGCCCTAAAATGCCACTGAAGAACTGGCATCGCAGAAGCAGTTGTGCACACCGTGGTCAGGATGATGCCAAGCAGCAAAGATTCAGATGAACCAGGGATTTGCTTTAAGGAAAACATTTTCTAGACCAGTGGAGAGATCTCAAGTCAAGCCCAACAAGGGCAGCTGGCCCTGTGTGTACTCAATGCTGGCCATGGCCAAACCAGCCCTGGCAAGGCTTCCCACACATGCTGCAGGGGGTCTGAAACCTGCTTGGATGCAGACTTTGCCATTTCACTTCAAATATTCCTCTTACTGTCCTTCTCTGCTAGCCACGGATGTTTCCTTGCTACCTTGCACTCATTTTTGTTTTTATAACCTAGGCCTTCTAATTCATTCTGATTGAAGATTTGTCTCTCTAGACTGCATTTTCATTTTCATCTGCTGCCTCCACTTAGTCCCTGAGTGCGGCTTAGGGTGGGAGGTGATCCCTCAGCTGTGCACATGTGAAGAGTAGAGGAGTGCACTGAAAACATGGAAATCCTCAGGTACAAGTGCCACTCAGGCAGAATTTGGTGCACAGCTATGGGGATGGGAAGCAGAAGCACAGCCTGTCCTTTGGCAGAGACAGTGCTCCCTCATATGGGAGGCACTGCAGAGTCCAACCTGGCACAAAAGCAGAATAAGCAGACCCCATCCATTGGGAAAGGCCACTGGTCATTCCTATTTCCAGACTCCATCACAGTAACAGCTCAAGGCAGGATGGAACAGGTTCACCTGAGTGTGTGAGCAAAAAGTCACTTAAGATGTGCTGGCACTATGGTAATTAATGCAGAGACTGATCACATCCACCAGCCTGAGCAGGCAGCAGAGCACACAAACCACATCCTCTGCCACTACACTTCTGAGCAGCTTCAAAGAATCAGACGGAGGAAAAGTATCTAATTAGAAAAATCTAAGTGAGAGAGGTTATTGCATGGGAGTGCAAATGGGCCTGAAAAGAGTCACCTAGTTATCATGTGTGATCCCAGCAGCAGAGCCAAGTCCATGCCTGGGACTGATCCTGCAGCCACTTCCCCACGGGAAGCAGGTAAGAAATCTCCTGGAGCTGGAAATCTCCATTCTGGAGGGAAGCAGCTTGCTGGGACTCTATGGACACTGTGTGGAGAAGAAGAGTTTCTTCCTCTCTATCAGAAGCAAGGCAAAGGATGTCAGAAAGCTTTTGGGTCACAGCAGATCACCTTTAAAATGTGACTTCCACCACTGGCACTTAGCCTCCTCCCTTCATGCTTCCTCTGTCGCAGCCCATCTGAATACCAAGGTGACCTGTGAAGATAACACAGAGAGAGGAGGCATTTAGGAGCCACTGTGTCGATAGTTGAGGACAAAATATAATTGTACTGTCCTCCTGGCTATTGACAGAGTGTTCCCTCAGCTGCACAGCACCTGCCTGGCTCAGCCAGTCCCAGCCAGCAGCTCCCCACGCCTGCCAGCACAGAGGAGGCTTTGGGTCAGCTCAGGGGACAGAACCACTTGCAAACAAAGGCCTGTCCTTCTCTTCTTATCTTCACTCTGAGGAGAAAACTCTCCTCCAAACTACTGTTATGGTTTGAATAACTCAAGGGAGGTTCTGATTTGAAAAAGCTGAGCTGCCAGTGTGTTTGTGCAGCTGTCCAGGGACACAGGCAAGGCTCCTCAGCCTATGATCCAAGGGAGCCAGGGAGAGCAAGAGAAACCACCTGGAGCTGCTCTGCAGGCTCCAGGGCAGTGCAGAGAGGCCCCTGCTCACACCACATGATGTAGCTGCCAACAAGCTGCCTCAGGGGCCAGAGATTGTCCACAGAACTCCAAGTGCAGGAAGGGCTCCTCGTCCCTTGACACACCCACCCACAGAGCACTTTGCACCTCTGGGTTCAGCCTTCAGGGCTGAAGTGAGCTAAGATGTCCCAGTTAGCCTGGGACCATGCCACAGTGCAGAACAGGCCACAGCACCCACAGAACAAGGGGGGAACAGTCAAGGCCCCCATGATCATCACTGGGTGGCAGGAAGGGTTTCTCAAGCCCTTCTCACACAGACATTCTCCTCTGGATGACAGCTGCCACCCAGGTGACAGAGCATTCACCTGGGAGACAAGTGAATGCTCTGTCCAGAGCAGAGTCCAGAGCAGACATTCTTGCTCTGAGCCAAAGGAATGCTTTCCTGGGCTCTGGATTCCCCCTGCACTTGGGTGCCAGAAAACTGGGTCAGAAACTCCCAGGCTTAGGCAGGCAAATGATGAGAGGTTAGGGCTCTGCAAGATGCTCCAGTTTCCTTCTGGAAAAGCTTTCAGAAGCCTGACATCTGCTCCACAGAAAAACAGAACATTTTTCTATACTCAGAAGAATCTGTAGGATGAGAAAAGTATTTTCTGCCCAGCCATAACACACACCAGTGTTTTTTCCACCAGCTGAGAAACCTCCCAGGCGAGATGGGCTCCCTCTCAGCCTCCCCCCTGGCAGAGTCATCCAGGTGAGCCCAAGGACAGCACCAGGAGCCAGGCAGCTGCTCCCTGTGTTTCAGAGGAGTGGGAATGAAGATCTGGCATTTGGCAGGTGAGGGAGGCTCTGTCTGGTGTTTCCTGCTGGGTCCAACAGAGTCTGTGGACAGGAGGAAAAGTGCAAATGAAGTGATGCAGCATAGAGAGGGTGTCTGGTATCTTTACAATGTGCCAGAGATGTGGCACCAGGGCACATCCCTCCAGATTCCTGATTGCCAAGCATTTTCCTTCTTCTCTCCTCCTGGGAGCACAGGACCACGGGGCACGGATCCACAAGTCCCAAATCCTGCAGTTTCTACAGATGAGGTCTTGGATGTTACTCTGTTACCTCCCCATGTCCAAGAGGACATTTCCAGAGAACATTTCCAGGTCCCACATGACAGCAAAGCTTGCTCTGATGGTCCCACTCACAGCGCAGTGTCACCATATGGAAATTCTCCACCAGGTCTTTCTGCTGTTCCCTCACAAGCCATCTCACACAGGGGTGCAGCTCACAAGTGCCCTGGGATGGCCACAAGCGTCTGCAGGTTACAAGAATCTCCATGGCTGCCACTGGAAAAGGGGAAGTGATGGAAGGGCTGCACTGAGGGGGTGAGGCCGTCAGAAGGCCCTGGTTGCTTATGGACACTGTGCCCTGCTGATCCTGCATGTCAGAGCTGGTTCTGTCCAGCTCCTCAGGCAGGGCCTGCAGTGGTTTCATGTCCCCTCTGGACCTCAGCCCTCAGCATGTGCCATGAGTGGGATCTCTTCTCCTGAAGATGTGTGAGGCTGGGAGTTCCTCAGTGAGGTTTGGGATGTCCCAGATCTTTGAGGCTGTCTCCAGGGTTAATGGCCAGGTGTACCTTTGAGTGATTAGGAGACGTCCCCTTTGAGACCTCAGGCTCTGACAGGCCTGGAAGGCTGGCCTGGCCAACCAGCCCTGTTCATATCATGAGCTTTCCCTGGACCTCAGGCCAGGTCCTCAGACAGGGCCACAGGAGCCACTGCCATGGGAGGCTCCCTCATCACCCCCTGCAGACCAGTACAGAGAGCAGCATGTGAAAATCATGGAATCACAAGATCATTCAGGCTGAAAAGCCCTCTGAGGTGATCGAGTCCAACCCTTAACCCAGCACTGCCAAGCTCACCACCAAACCGTGTCACCAAGTGCCACATCCACACATTTTCTGAATGGGATGTGGCTCCACCACTGCCCTGGGCAGCTGTTCCCATGCCTGACCACCCTCCTAGTGAATAAATTCTCCCTAATACCCAGCCTGAAACTGCCCTGACACGACTGGAGGCTGTTTCCTTTTGTCCTGCCAGTTGTCACCTCCTGCCAGGACAGGGCTGCAGAGGGACCAGCTCAGGCCCTGTGACACAGCCACAGCTCTGCCCTCTCCATCTGCAGCCCCAGCTCCAGCAAAGGAAAGGCAGCTCAGCAGGACATCCAGGGGACCTCTAAACTGGTGTCACTTCCAGTTTAATTCCCTCCTGGGCATGTCGTCTGTGACAAAGGCACATAAATACAGAGGGGGAAACCCTTCTGAAAAACACACACAAAGTAGAGCCCTGCTATTTCCTTGTTTTGCCAAGCAATGTGCTGCAGGAAGGAGCTCTCAGGAGATGGGAATGTTGCCGACTGGTGTCACAGCTCTGTCACACAGGGAGCTGCTGGCCTTGCTCTCAGCAGCTCAAAATGGAATTATCATTTTAAACATTGACCTTATACTGATCAGCATGAAGCACAAACAAGAGTTCACATCACCCACTGTCTCTGAGGGTGAGTTTTGAAATAAATTCAGCAGAAAATAAATTAAAAGTTCAACAAGGCATTATATGACAGATCTGGACATGTTTCTTTTCTAATGGATAAACATGGCCATAATATAAACCACATTTGAAATGCATCATTCTCAAAAGGCAACAAAATGGACTTCAGCTTTAGTAGAGCCTCTGTTCCTCATTCTAGCAACTTCAGTGGAATTAAAAATTGGAAGTTTTGATTATAAATATTTTTAAAAAGGACCCTACAGGCAAGACAGTGGCTCTGTGTCTGACTTTGCAGAGTAGGTAACTAAATAATACATCTTGAGCACATGCTGCTGTGTTAGAGAATGTCAAAGCAGCAGGAAAGCAGGAGATTTTGGTTTTTGGAGAGGTTCTCTGGTAGATGGGCTTTTGGTATTCCCAAGGCATAACAAAGCAGAATGGCACTGTGGAAATAAAATACATTAGTTGAATGTTCCTGCTAAAGCTACAAAAAGGATATTTCAGCAGGCCCTTCTCAGTTTTGAGATCAGATGAAGGGTTCTATTCTTTCACCATTAGTTCCAGGGAGAAACATCACATTTTCCATAATTTCTTTGTGAAGCATAACATAAAACCTAATTTTAAATTCAACTTTGATGTTTGGACAGTAACTCTGTACCAAGGGCTGAAATCTCTCCCTGGGGAAGGAAAGCTCCTGTTGCAGAAGCTGCTCCTTCTTCTCCCCACACAATGAGTTATCTCTACAACCCCCAACACCACCCCAGCCCATCCCAGCTCCAGGGCCTGAGAGCCCCATTCTGGGGAGTGCTGGTCCCAGCTCAGCCCCTGCTGGTCTTGGTTTGAATCCCAAAAGTGAAGCAGGAAGGCTGTCAGTTCCTCATCTGCTCCCCTTCCAAAAACGTGTCTGAAAACAGAGAAACCAGTCATTTTTTCTTGATTGTACTTCCACTGTCTGCAATAAATTGCAAGTTTTTTTCTTTCTGATTAATCAAAGTTCACAGGAACTAAATCAACATTTCAAAATAGAAACAGCATAATGGCATTTTGGCAGCTTTCAAAAATTAACGCTTAGATCTATTACTTAATGAAAGTTTAACACTGACTACCCCAGCACTTTATTTCAAAACCCTCCAGAGTTTCTGCTATCCTGAGCACCAGAACATGTAACTGTGTTTAACTGTGTTAAAGTATTCATAATTAAACAATACACAGGACAATTAACATGCAACTTCACCTGGTAATGATCAGTAAGAAGATGCAGCAGTGAGATGAGATGAGATGAGATGAGATGAGATGAGATGAGATGAGATGAGATAGTTATCCTGGGTGTATTTTAAGCCATCTTATTTTAGATGTTGGACCTTACTTGGATATGTGCCTCACACTGAGGCTGGACTGCTCTCTACAAATGCCTGGTTTTCCCCACTGCCCTCACAAGTCAGAAAAATTAGCCCAGAAAAAGACTTTTCCAGGCATCTGCATTTAAACAATGAATCTCAATCCAGTCACAAAAAACAAACATCAAATCTGACTCAAACAGCTGACATGTAATTTAGATGTCCAAAGTCTTGCTACGCTGCTTTAAAGTCTCACAGGTCTTGGCACACATTTTATTAGCAGCAATTTCAAATTCACTGGCAGACCATGGATGGAAACATTGAGTGCCAGGCCTGCCACCAAGCTCTGCAGCAAGCCCTGAGAAACACCAGCCTTCCCAGTGACCACCACCTCACAAGTATTTTTTTCACCTTTAATTCACACCATGTCTGCCTGCTGCTTCTGGGAGCTGATGTTTGACTCCAGCTGCACAGTTACACAGCACAACTGCTCTGGGCTGCATTTATTAGGTAACCTCTCTGTCAAACTTGTACTATCCATAAAGAATGAAATCGGGGATGTTTGATGAAACCTATTTATCACAGGTTGCCACAGACTGTGGCCACCAGTTTCAGTGTCCCCTTGTGTTCCTAAAACCTGGATTTCTCTTTGCTCTCAGAGTCTCCTTCAGCCAATAATTCTTTGAATTCCTGTCCTCACACCCTGGTATCCATGATCCAATCACATGGCATCACATCACAGGCAGCCTCTAGGCTTTCTCCCATAATCTCTCTGCTCCTTTTCTATTTCCCTTGAGCCCAATATCTTTGTGGCACATGCTGTACAACATGTTCAGCTGGAGACTGAAACAAGCAAAGTGTTCCCTAAGCAGATCCAAACTTTCTTTCCCTTACCTTATAAATAATGAGAAAAAAAGAAGAGCAAAAATACTTTTTACCTTTCCTTGATGTTCCAGGCTCTTTGCATTCTTTTCCTTTACTTGCACTGGTTGTTCCTAATGGACAAACCTTGGATACAGCAAACCCTCTGCAGCAGGGGGGCACAGTGAGGGAGGGAGCAGCAGGGGGATGACACAGCTTTGGTTATCCTGACCTGTGCAGTCATCTGGCACTTAGTCCTTTAGCAGGGCTTTAAGCAGTTCCCCTCTCAGCTCTGGCAGGAAATGCAGCCCCCATCTGCAGCACGCAGGGGTGAGTTGTAAAACACTCCCTAGGCTCAGGGCTGGTGTAAGGAAAGAAGTAGGTAGGGTTGCTCACCGTAGATTTTCTGAATCCCTTGGAGGTCGTCCTGGGGCAGTTTGAAGTTGTGTGTCTCCATGTACTGGTAGAAAGGAGCCATGATAGCGCTGGGATCGTTGGAGTGCTCCAGCCCCAGCGCGTGCCCCAGCTCGTGGACAGCAACCAGGAAAAGATCGTTCCCTGTGGGGGGAAGGCACAGCCCGGTCAGCACACACAGCCAACCCTCAGCCCATTCCAAGCCCCTCTTGCCCATAAAGCCAAAGCAAATGCTTTGCTCTCCTACTGCACAGCAGGTCACAGTGGCAGGGTCAGCTCCTGGAGATGGGTTTAGTCCCAAAAGTCTGCACAGCCTTTAGCCATTGTCAAAGAATGGGCCAGACGCTGCCAGCTCCAGAGCAGGTAAAACAGGCAGTGCCTGGAGTGAAGGGATACTGACTGTAGACTCCTTTGCAGAGAGATTACAGAAAATGGCCAACAAAATGGTCACTGACACCACTGGCTCCTTATCAGAGTGCTGCCAGGAGAGGTGAGATGTGCTCTCACCTCTTAGACAGTCTGCTAATCAGTGGCGGGGTGAGTGCCTTGTGCCCCTGCTGGGTCCTCTGGTGCCATTCTCTGATCAGCTCTGGACCAACAAATGGCAGGGGAGGTCTGCAGGCACCTGGCAAGGCAGGAGGAAGAACAGAGAAGAGCAGGGTAACATTCACTGTCCCACATGGGCAGCCCCATCTCCTCCAGCAAGGGCTTTCACTCTGCTGGACCCCTGGCACTGCCACGTGTGCAGGAGCTGAGCACAGGCAGCTCCATCCTGCCCCATTCCCACACAGGGAGAAGGCTGGGCTGGATCCCAGTGGCAGAAGACAGAAGGAAGAAGGAGGAGAGAAGGGCCAGGACTCCTCCTGGCAGGAGGCAGGAGGGCTGAGGAGCCCTGTGTGGGGCAAAGCTGGGAGCAGCGCCACGTGGGGGTACCTTCAACTCTACAGGCACACATTCCTCTTCAGCCCCACGGGCCTGGACCCTCATCCCTTTGATCCAGAGCGGTCCCTGGGTGTCCTGCTCCATAAGGGCACTGGGAAGTGGCCCAGCAGTGCTATGCAGGGATGAAGACACAGCCAACAAGGACGGATGTAAGGGTCTTCTCACGGCAGTAAAATGTCTGAGCCCTCAATTCTGCCTGAATTTGGGCTCCTCTGGTTTTGGGTTTTTATGGCAAGGCAGAAACCAAGAGCATTTGCAACTAGTTGTCAGTGTCTCCAAAGAGCTTCCTCACGCCTCCAGCTGAACAAAGCTCAGTTCTGCGCTGAGCTCTACCTGAGACAGGAGTTGCAACAGTGACTCATACAGAGCCATCCCCACTTTTCAAACAGTTACTGCTTCACTGTTACCCATAAAAACATGACAAAGCAGTTTCAGGGGTCTGTGAGCCTCCTCAGCAGGGAGCTTTGCCAGCAGAAGATACCTGAAGTCAGTACCAAGCAGTGCTCCCCAGCCACACATAACACACCAAAATGGTTAAATGCTCTAAACATTTCAGTTGGATGGTCAAAGCATCTGAATATGCAAGACGCGTTAAAATACACAAATGCATTTCAAATAAATTTTCAAATACAATTGTCCAAAAACATATAAAGCCTAAAATTTAGCCACATATTTATGGAAAATTTTAGAATTTCTGTACTTGGGAAATTCAAATAAGTACCTACTTAGTAATTTTTTCTCATCTGTTGCTGAAAATTCTGGTGTGTGCAGAACACGTTAATACAATGTCCAACAGCACAATATAAAATCCATGAAGTAGTTTTATGGTAAAGGTTGGAGGACTGATCATTCCTCACAGGTTTTCAAAAACACTCAAGCTTCGAAGATGCACCCAGATTCCAAATGGGATTCAGAGAATCAATGTCCTTTTGCAAAACTGAATGGACTTAGTCTCCTGTATCAGCTAAATGCCAATGAAAGCATAATTTTCACTGCTGCCACAACTATTCACATGTGGAAGCCCACAGCAAAGGTCACTCAGTACAGAGCTGACCTCATGAGACTGCTCAGCACAGGCTCACAGGCTGTGCCCGTGCTCAGGGACATCTTCCCTCACCTTCCCTTGGAGGCATTTCCCTCCTTGCTGAAGTACCTGCAGTATTGGTGCTGCAGCAGATCTAGAACCTGTCTCTGTGTAAGTCTATATATAAACTTATGGAAGTGACTTGCCTCTGTGTGCTAATCCTTCACTAAGAGCACAAGATCAAACACTACCTTAAGTTAAATTACTTTAAAATAGCTTTCAATCATTTGTTTCTGCCCAAAGTAAATGCCAGCCCACTCTACAGGTGGAAAATAAGCCCTACAGACTTACAGGATGGTTGAGGCTGGAAGGCACCTCTGGAGATTGTCTGGTCCAATGCCCAGCTCAAGCAAGCTCAGGTGAAGCCAATTGTCCGGTCAGGTTTGAGTGTCAAGTTTCTCATACTGGGGTGCACAGGGCACTCCGGGTGTGCCAGTGGAAAGGAAGGATCATCTCCTTGCTCATGACTCATGTTCCACCTGCTGCCAACCAGGAGCCCCGGGTCCTTCTCTGCAAAGCTGCTTCCAGGCCCTGGGCCACCAGCAGTCCAAGGGCAGGGCTGTGCACTCCTCACCTTCCCATGGCTCCTGTCAGGCTGCTCCTCCATCCTCTCGAGGTCTCTGAACCACAGCATCACTGGGCAGTGTTATCAAACACTCCTCCAAAGTTCCTGTCATCTTCTGTGGCATTTTCTGGGGTCCTCCGTAGCAGGAAGGAAATGATGAATGACTGCATGTTCTTAGAAGGTTAATTTATCATTTTATGATATTATATTAAAGAATGCTATACTAAACTATGCTAAAGAATAGAGAAAGGATTCTTACAGAAGGCTTAACAAGATACTAATGAAAACCCCATGACTCTCCAGAGTCCCAACACAGCTGGACCATGATTGGTCAGTAAGTCAAAACAATTCACATGTAGGATAAACAATATCTAAACCACATTCCAAAGCAGCAAACACAGGAGAAGCAAATGAGATAAAATTGTTTTCCTTTTTCTCTGAGGCTCCTCAGCTTCCCAGGAGAAGAAATCCCGGCGAACGGATTTTTCAGAAAATATGACAGTGACAATCTTCAAACTCACTGAATGTGCACTCTGCTGCATCACTGATGTCATTTCATCAAGGTATTAGTCAGCACTGATCTCATGCAGCTCCTGTGACACAAATCCTGAACTTGTCCATCTCGTGGTTACCACAGCCCAGGATGCAACTGATCTTCACACTACCCACACTTCTTCAGCTGTCAGGTCCAGCAGATCATTGTTTGTTCTTTGATCACCAGTGAGATAACCAGTAAGAGTTCTGCGATGATCAGCAAGATGAAGGCTCATTCCTGAAGAAGTACCTCAACCACCACGGTGGTCAGGCCAGCTCTTCCCCTATGGAACAGATACACACCTTTTCCCAGCTATGCTTAGGAAATATTCCTGGAAAAGCAGCTGTGGAAAACAGCTGCTGCTGTCCAGTTTTAAACCACCATTCTGGCTGACAGTTGTGTGTGAGGATGTCACAGAGCACAGAAAATGTTGGCTGGGAAGCTTTGTTGCAACTAGAGATAAGAAACTCCAAGAAATGAAGTGTTCCAGTTTCAGCACAGCCACAGCAGGCAGGTCAGCAGTGGAGTGGAAAAGTTCTCCTCCTCCATGGCCAGGATACCACCTGAACCAAAGCAGGGATAAACCCTGGGCAATGGCTGGAGCAGAGGAAGTAGAGCTCAAGAGAATTCCTAGGAAGTGAACTGATCTCCACAGAAAGCAGGACAAGAAGCTCCCCTTAGTTCTCTCCAAGTGCCCTGATTCTCACTGCTGTGGTTGCTTCTCATCTACCTTTGCTGAAAGGCAGCCGTGGCAGAAGCACACACAGCTCCCTCTCCTTCTGCTCCCTGCCCTGGCCAAAAATCTCTCACCTCTGTTTAATCCCTGCATATTTCTATTCTGGCCTCCTCCCAGACACATCTGTTGATCTTTTCCTTCCAGCATGCCCCTGTTATCTCCTTTCTCCATCCTGCTGCACACTCTAAGGGGGTCCCAGGTCTGAAATTACCATATCATTCTCAGAGAACAAGTGAAACAGCATTTCATGGGAGGAGGAGATGGGAGAGAGAAGCCTTAAGACCATTTCAGAAGCCCAGAGTTCTCAAAAATCCAGCTCTGGATTCATCATCCTGTTTTCTCTTGAAGGGTTACTCAATCAATAACATTGTTAAGCAACAAATTCCCTTTAATTTGCTAACAGTAGCAAATTCCATAGCATGGAAGAGAACACATTGTTCCTTTCGAAGGGGTAGGCTAGGATTTGCTCTGAAAAGAAAATACTGAGGTATAAAACCACCAGTGTAGTTCTCTCCTTCCACAGAACTCAGCCTGGGGCTCTGAGGGCTCTCTGTGTTCTCACCCACTGCTGAGCTGGACGAGTCTGGAAAGGAGCTTGTACCTCCCACATTGTTTCTGTTGGTTCTTGAATGTACAAGAAGGTCTCTGACCTCCCAGTTCTCCACATTTCTTATCCAAAAGCATTCCCCATAGTGTCCAACCTCTTGGAGAAAGATTCAGATGGATGTTAGGCTAGCATCAGCCTAGCTTGATGCTTTGCCATGGAAACATGGTCAAGCAATGGGATACAGCTCCTTAATTTCCTGCTCAACCCACTTAAGTAACAAGAAAAACTTGCACTCAGAGTATCTCAGGACCTGGGTAAAACAGTAGGGTTAGGAAGGATCTGTACTTGGAGGAAACAGTCCCTAGAGGAATACAACAACTTTTGCTCATTTGCACCATCTGCACAAAACAAACAGGTCTGGTCAGAGACCTGCCTGAGCTTCCCCTTCCCAGCTCTCAGGAGGCAGCCAAAAGTCCACCAGGGAGCACCAGAAGAGGATGACGCTGCAAAATTGGAGGGGTAAGTTGGCTCATTGAATGAAACAGTTTGACCTGCTACACCAAACACAAAGAAACACAGCTGATTTAGTTTTGAAGTTGCTGATGTGTTTTCCTTACCAGCACGTTATCACCACAGAAAATGACAACTGAGGACACACCTATAGCACTATAAAAGCATCCTGGGATGACACACAGGTGAATACACTGCTTACCTTACATCCAGCTCAATGGCTCT